GACTAATTAACCAGCGGGTCCCTTTTTGTTCTTCACAGGAGGATTTGTTCTCTTTATTATTACTCTTGCGTGGACATTAATGCGGCTCAAACGGCAGCGCGCACCCCCACAAATTATACATCGAAATGAGCGGATTGGCTGTGGGAGGTGTGCTATTACTTTTCTAAGTGTTTCGATTCACAATGGTGAAATTATTAGCTAAAAACTGTGAATTTTTTGCATTTTGATGTTGTGCCACTCTAAAATAGCATAAAATGTGAATATTAGCAATTAAACATGCACATAATTGATTAATTAGATGGCAGGCCCTCTAAAGTGGCATTTTTACATATGCATGAACAATATCATGATTTTTATTTTTATTTTTACCTTAATGTCACCCAAATATCATGATTTTGGGGTGGTCACCCTGACAATCTTTTTTGGCCTCTTTAGCACATGGCCACTATCTTGTGCCCGCAGGCAGGTCCCTTTTTAAAATTGATTCAGGAATTTTCTAGTAAAATTTATCATTCTATTTAAAATATTTATGAACAATGTAGGGAGACAGTGGTGCTGTTCAAGCAGAGGAGAGCTGCTACAGGAGCTCAGAGTGTGTTTTTCAGGTCTTAAATATAAATAGCAGTTTGTTGTTTTGTATACTTGGGCTTGGTTCACATGGCAGGATTTAAAAATTGCCAAGAATTTTTAAAACATGAGACTCCACATGTGGCGATAAATAATAATGACATGCCAGTTCTGGTCCTACAGTGTGTGGTGTAAAGCTCACAGAATCTCTGAAAATCAAAGTTACTTTGAAGTAAACCAACATGGCCAAGAAATATTCTCTGTGTTTCCTTCAAATCACTTTCTGATTGGTTACACATCATAATCAACATACAGCATGCTTGTTTGTCTTTAATATTGGACCATGACCATCCAACATCTTGAGACTGGAGCTGCCCTGACATGCTTCTGAGGGGACTAGAGCACTCTTAACACATCACACACAGCAGACATATCTGAAAAGTTTCTCTTTGGAGCCGTTACATAATTGGGCTTGCCGTTATGACTGTCAGGAGGGAAAGATCAGACCATACAGCAACATAATTATCTTGACCAGTGTCAAGGACTCAGGACTTGTAAGTTTAGGGGCAAAAATTATTAAAAGCATCTGTAAGAGCATGCTTGCAATGGATAATGTGAAAAAAAACAGTACTTACTACAATACAGTACTAGTTTTTACAGTATATGCTTTTGTTGATTACCTTGTTTTTATAGAAATGCCAATCTGATTAATTGCACAGCCCTCGTATAAAATACATTAAATATTATGTTATATTGCATTGTATTATAATGTATTGCATTATATTGGATTGTTTCATATGAATTGGAAAACTATTTCCCTGGCTCCAACTTTTTAAAATTACTGTTTTGTTTAAATTCAGCCAAAGGTAACTGGAAAAAAAGGCTTAATTTGGTGCATAATTAGTTCCCCAGAACAAAGATTAAATACGTAAATATTTTTTATGGAGCACCTACAAAACCAATATTTACATTCCCATTGTTCAAGTATCTCTGACAGACACAACATGATGTGTTAATATGAAAATTGTACAAAAATAAAAATAAATAAGAATAAACATTAAGTACATTTATAATTTATCACATGAAATGAACACTGATTTCCATTAAATTCTGCGTGAATATAAGTTACATCAGATCTTTAAAATCAGGATTAAACAACAGAAGGAAGAAGATAAGATCATATCTGATGTGTTGTTTTGCTTCAGTCCCATGTGATTACTACTTCACTTACCAGGACACAGCTACACTGTCTCACTGACTTATCGTGATTCTGGCTCAATCACCATACGCTTTTTCTCTCACCACAACCACAGGCTTCTGATGAACAGTTGGAGATCATTTCTCTCTGAACATGGATTTATCTAAATAATTTCTTTAAAATATCAATACAAGTCGGCCCTTAGAATAAGGCCTTTTCCTCTGGAATCACTCAACATTTTAAAGGTGTGGTTCACTCTGATTGCTTTGTAAGTCATAGTCTAGGGGAAAAAAGCAATAGTGCGCCTGTTTCAGGAACTAGAAGTGAGCCACATCAGGCCTGAGCTTCGGACTGCAGGATTTGGAATCTTTTTTTCTGGATATTTGGACATCTCTCTTCTGATTGGCTAACAGCAACATGACTCTGCCAATAGGGAGCCTAAGTCATGCCCATCTACTTCCAGACCATGGGTCCCCGGAAGAACGAAATGAATGCAAGTCAGTGGGGCTAAGAATGCTATTTTCTAATTCTGCTTGTTTTGTGCCATGGATTTCACATACAGTATGATGTTCGTGAATTCAGCAGACACATTTTGTTACCAAGAACGTGCTTATTTTCTAACGGGAGGGGGGGACGCTATTTTAGGTTTTGTGTGAAATGAAGTCCAGACCTACAAATGCACTTCATGAAAGTGATGTCATCAAACCAGACACGGAGAAAACGGAGGGAAAAAGGCTATAAGTTCTGCAAACTTCCCACAGACGGAAAGCACCACCATAAATCTGGTCATTTGGTTAGTAGCAGCTATGTTAGGAGAGAGGAGATTATGTGGTGACGTCACATGTTCAACATGCAATTTCTGGTGTCTAGTCATGCTAATTATGAACTTTTACAAGCTGATAAATCTCAAAGTACGTGACTGGCGTGGTCAAAACACCCATCATTAGTTTTCATTTCAATTGCAGTACAACATATGTGTGATCCAGGGTCTAAGGCAAAGTGGATTAGAAAATAACGTTTTTCGCCCCGTTGACTTGCATTCATTTTCTCTTTTTTTCAAGGACCCATGAGCCGACTGGAAAGGGAGGAGACTTAGGCTCCCTATGACTCTGTTTTCTCTACAACGTTGATGTTTTATCTCAATAAATAACACAATCCTGGAGAAATTCTTCCATGTGGTGCAATTGCTAATGCTAACAGTTAGCTTCTACTACCTGAGACATTCTTTGCTGTTTTCTGGATGCTAAACCAACAACGACCTTCCCCATTGTGAGTCAAGATGGGTGAGTCCATGAATGTTAAATGGCAGCGTGATGTAGATCTGTCTGGCTTTTCTAATCCAGAGGTTTCAGCATCTATTTTCTATCAGAAGCTAAAGCAGGAAATAGGGCTAGAATACTATTTTCATGTTCTGCCTGCATGAAAAACTCTGAGTGACTGATTATATCAGAAATCATAATTAAAAAATATTTTTTCAGTGAACCACACCTTTATTTAAATTCACACTACCCCTGTATATTTTTGGTTCCTATATAATCATGTGCAGAAAGGTTTTGAGGACCAGCTAAACACACGTGTCCAAAATCTGTTAGGATTAACACAATTTAGTCATTCCCATTGAACAGTTTTCTTCATTTTAGGGCGGTTGTTATTTACCATGGATATTTGGATGAAATCTTTGGCCTTCGTTAGCATGAAATTACATTAGAGAGGGAGGGGGAACAGTAGAAAATTTGTTTAAAAGCCACCGATAGACACATCACATCAACTCTAACAGCAAAACCACTCAACAATTGACCATAAAATGTGCTAAAATTGGTGCAAAATTAAGACTGAGATCATGAACTTGCTGGACCAAGTGATGTCGGCACAACTCAAACAAGCAGAAAAATGGCCTTTGTCTCCCAATCTCACAGTTGAGTTGTACAAATAAAGTCCAGATGATGATAATAAACATAACCAGAAACACCAGCAAATCCTTGGATTATTTCACAAAATGGATTTATCTTTTAATTTAGTGAAATAAATTAAAAGAGTAAAAATGGTAGGGAAAAAAAGAGGTATAAACAAATAGAAAACACTTGGAATCTACTTTCTTCCGTTGATATTCAAGGAAATAAACAAACGGATTATTTGGGTGCTAACCAGTCACACACAGCACCGCCTACTCACCGCCTCCACCTCAGCTGGATCGTACCACACGTTGATGTAGGGGTGCTGCAACGCCTCGTCCACTGATATCCGCTTTGCGGGGTCGATGATCAGCATCTTAGAGAGTAGATCTCTGGCCTGGCTCGCTGTGGTTCCAACAACACAAAACAACATCTAGCTGATTTCAGGAGACAAGATTACAACATCTAATAAAACTGATATGTAAAAATAAGGTAGGGTAGAGAAAATGCACAGGTAAAATTAAAGGGACACTAGGCAGTTTTGCTTGCTTTTAGCACCCCCTAGTGCCCACAATTATCTAACTGCTGAAATGTCTCCACAGGTAGAGGAGTGATCCATCACTAAATCAAATAAATCAACTGTGTTCAAGATCTAAAACATACAGGAAACATGCTAGAGACTGCAGCTCCCTCCACAAGCAGGGAGTGGCCGGCCAACTCTGAAGTTGCAGGTGCGGTATTCTGGCCACAGAGGGTGGCGTGGTCTGAGTGACCTTTCAATAACCCTGTAATGGGTCATTTTAGCACATAATGGCTCAAGAAAATAATTAAAAAATGATAAATAATTGATTAAGCAACCAGAATTCTTAATTTTACACCTATTAAATGTTTTTTCCTTTAAATTTCAAATGATCTTCTCAAAGTTAATAAACTCATGTTCAATAAACAATAAAAAAAATAACAAAATTTTGTGCAGAAGATTCTTGATCAAACTTTTTGTTTATGAAAAAATGTGTTTCATTTATTACATGAATAATTTTCTGATTTTCCTCCTTTACTAGAGCCTCTAAATGATGTATAAATATTTAATATCTGAAATAAGCAAATTAAATGATAGCCAGGATTCAATTATTCCTCTTAAGATGATCTGAAATTGAGTTGAGGACCTTTAAACCACGGCTTCTCTCCTACACACCCTGCCCTTCACAAGAAACAGATCTGCAGCAGCTTAACATTAAAAAACTCAACTTAGACAAAAAATTCTAACTTTGGAAGACTCTATTTATGAGGAGGATCATATGAAAAAATAACAATTAAATCTATAAAAATTCCTCAATTACTGAAGCCCGACGAGTTTCCCTCACGTTTGACTCGGTTCCTGTCAGAAACAAACGGAAACACTTCATCTTGCTCTCACCGTCCCTCTCCGTCTCTCTCCAAACAGTCACTCCAGCAGCACACAACTGGAATGCTGAATGGATTCATGGGAAGTCTAGAGATTTGATGTAGGAACATGATAATAAAAAATGTTTGTGCTTTGATGAAGCATTTTTGCTTCTGAAGGATCAACATAAATGGAATTTGGAGAAAAATTCTACATTTTTTTAGAGTGAAAAAAATAAATATATATTCCCTAAATGATCTAGAGTTATTATATATCACTGTGTATTTTGCGTCAGAATGTGGTCTTCAGACTTTCTTAAGGTCTTTCAATGTTCTTTTTTTAGACTTTGGCTACTTTTTTTTTTTGTCAATTTCAGATCAGAGAAAGGTGAGTTAATTCACTAAACTGTCAAGGATCCCAAACTCTATCAAAGATGTCATTTTCCCAGATGTCTGTGGTGTACTCTGTTAAAAATCCCAAAGATCATTTTGATTGATAACACTGGTATTTCAGCATCATTTTCTGAAAACTGATCAATTAAGCTAATTTCGGGTCCTGTTTCAGGTTTTTGGCTGGATTTGTGTTACGTAAGAAAACAATACGTTTTTCTTTAGTGTTTAAGATAGTGATTTTAGTGTTAGCTTTGTTAGCCTTAAAATGTTTATTACCCTCAGGGTGTGTCCTCTCTGACAGCCATCTTGAAGCAGCAAAGGGGGAGCCCGCCTCAAATGCAGCCTTTTTATAGAAAATGTTTGACAATGATTGGAGGAACTTAGAGAAATGTCTAGAACAAATGATGTGTAAATTGCATGTGGTTGAAATGAATGATATTTCTTATTGAGATGGTAATGAATAACACTTTAATGTGCTTTTATCCTGTGAAAGGCTGAGGTGATTGGCCAATCTTAATAGGAGGCGGGGTCTTAAGGGTGTGTGTATAGGTGGACTGCTGGGTGTGGCGAAGGACTGAGAGAGAATGGCTGTGTTCGAGATGAGCCAGTTCTGCGCAGATTCGATCACCGGTGATCGGTGCGCAGTGCATGCCGGTTAGATTTGTGTCCAACTTGACGCGGACTTGCTCTGACGTCATGCATACGTAGGCAACGATAACCTCGTGAGATCAAGGCAGCCGCAGATTTTGGAGCAAGGCGCTGCACTTGCTCTCCCTCGGCTGCTAAACCTAGGGGATGACGGGAAACGCCTGGCTCTCACCTGATCTAAGATCTGATTGGTTCATATTTTGATCCAAACATCCGGTGGTAGAACATGAAATGTTAGTTGGTCACATGTATTCTGTAAATCATGTAACGTTGATGATGACAACTATATAGGCCATAAAGAGGAATATGTTTTGTGTTCTTTTGTCACGTTTCCTATGAGCACACTGAAGCTACAGCTGATAACTTTTACTTATTATTACAGTCATGTCTACATATACAATATATGATATCCACAAGCACGTGAGGGTGTGTTTCAGCTGCTAACAGGCACCAGAATTAAAACTGAAAATTGAACAAGTGTGAACGCTAACGCGATATCTTCAGCCATAGTCACCCGCGAGCTACACATGCAGGAAATTGTGTCCGACTTAAACGCCGGCTTTCAGCCACTCCCCCTGCTGCTTCCATCTGCTCTCGTCTGTTTTCCATGCGAGGCGCAGCTCAACTCGAACACGGCCAATCTGTGAACCTGACAGACTCAGGAACTGGAAGAGGCATCATTTTTGAAGGCTGATTGAGTCCTTTTTCCTCACCACACTTCACTGTGTAAGATCAATTTGATTAGTAACATTAGTATTTCAGCATCATTTGCTGAAAACTGATAATGGAAGCTAATTTCAGGTCCTGTTTCAGTTTTTTTGTTGGATTTGTTTCTTGTTTCTAAGGCCTCTTTTACACCGAACGAAGAACGTGAACGTTCTGCAGGTTCTTGGTGATGTTTGCAGGTGCATAGCGTATAGCATATGACACGTAGCGTAGCCAGGACCTGCTTTCTGCTTTACAACCAGGCCAAATAAATGATTTTTAAAATAAGTCCATTTTGTAAATCCAGAGAGAGAGAGAGAGAGAGAGAGAGAGAGAGAGAGAGAGAGAGACCTGATAATATAGGATTTGCCTTTTGCCACTGTACTTTTAACATTGTGCAAGTTTCTGCAAAGTTTATCCATATTCTGGTTGATTTTAATATAAACACAACCTGGTGAGGTTAAAAAGAGCGCCTCCGTCTTCATGTTGAAGGGGCGGGTTACAAATTTGTCACATCCAGTAGAAATGTAATAGGTTGTGGAGGTCAAATAGAGCTTAGCAGAGTCCTAATCCATCGTTAAGAGGCCTTAAATCTCAACTTCTCAATTGTGTTTATGTGCTGTAGGTGCATTTTATCTGAAATATGCTGATTGGTACAAGAACGGGACAGAAATGCCAAAGACAAAACCTTGGAGGCCTTTAAAATGTATCTCTACCCATGAATTATGTGCAAACATTCTTCTTTCCGACTGCAGTTCAATTTAGTAAATAAAATAATGTCAAAAGTCTCAGCTGCTCACCTTTGAGTTTATTGTGCTCAGAGTCAGCAGGGAAAAGGCAGTCGGGGAAGAGCTTGGGAAAGGTGAGGCCTGCATACTTTGGCCGGTTCTCTACATAGTTCCTCACTGTGGGCTGCAGCTTCTTCATAAACTCTGGTGAGGGTGTGCCCAGCTGTTCGATCACCTTGTTCCACTGGTCAATGTCTGGAGTAGGTAGTCAAGGTAAAGAGAAACATGTCTGGGGGGAAAAGCCTACCTTCACAAAAGAGTTTAATGGTTGGGTGTTTGTTATGGAGGAGAATACAACCAGTTCTATGGTAATCCAGAAGCTTGTCTCCTGTTTGAAAACAGATGCTTAACTTCCTAATCAAACTTCAGGTTCTGGTTTAATGGAGACTGAGTGTGCGCACATGCCTGATTGCATTTCAACTCTCCTCACACAGGGCAAATGACCCCCTCCCCTCCTCATGTTCTCACGCAGGGTGCCAGTTGAGGCAATTTGCTGCCAAGGCCACCAGAGATCCTCATTTTACTGAAACGCTTCACTTTTCCTCCTCTGTTCCATCTCCATTAGTCATTGGCTGTGATGCACACAGTGTGACTCCCCCAACTCACACACACTAAGGCTGTTAGCCGCTACTCTTTAGTCAGAGGTTACATTCACTCAGAAAGCTTGAGATGGTTTTTCACTCAGTTCATCACTTCTGCAGGGGCTTCCATTTAAACCAGGGTGAGGAGGTTTCAGAGGGCTGAAGGATACGGTCAGTCCCAGGGAACAGCACTGTTCCTCTTATCACCTCTCCAAAGATGCAGCCCACTGACCACATATCCACTGGTGCCACACACACACACACACACACACACACACACACGGGTGCACGCGTACACACACACACACATACACATGATGTTATTTATGACTTTGTTCACCTGTCAGGGTTTGATTGCTCCTTGCAGGATTTTCTTTTTCTCATAATTCATAAAGCACTTTTGACTCACTTTAGTGAAAGTCACACTGATTTGAGGAAAACATAAAGCAAATAAAAGCAGCATCAGCCGTTTCTCAGATATAAATATAAAAATTACAAGACTAGTGCAGCAAATGGTGTTAAATAACTAAATGATGTGTAGAGCAATTTCTAAAGTTAGATGGGAAACTTCTATCTTCATGTGAGCTGGTTGATTACTGCAGGCATGTTAAAATCATTATAAACAGTAAGGCTAAAACTAACAGATTAATGAGGGTTAGTTGTAATCTAAGAATTTGTATAATTTAATAAATCTCTTTTTAGCAGTCTGTCTCCTATAATCTTTTGTTTTCTGCCAATTATAACAACTTGTCGTATTAAATTTATCTCCAAACAACTATTAATCTGTGAGCTGGTTTGGTGGGGCGGCAGCAACTCCATACCATCATTTGTTTCACACTTAGGAAGGTGTGTAGACTCCTGCTTCAGCAGGGTCAATACATCAGGCCTAAAGGTCTGTGGAGAAAATCAAGATAAGCAACAAAAAGAAAGCGATCCAACACTGACTTATGAGCGGTGTGAGACTACAGTCCACAAGTCTAGAGTAAGAACTGATATTACAGGACAGAATTTCCTGCAGAGTCTGCAGAAGATTAATCTTCCTTAGGCTTCATGTTCAAGGCTCTGGAGAGAGGAGTATTTCCACAAACACCTGGTGGCTCTACGTACCTCTAAACGACTTAAACTCTACACTTTAACTGGTAAGAATGTTAATTTTTCCTGTTGTCAAAAAAAAAAAAAGATTCGTAGTGTCCCATTATTCTTGTTTCTCTTCTTTTGTAAAGTCCTTTGTGAGTCTGTTCTCGATCCCCAGTGAGTCGTGGAGGATGGCTGCTTATATTGAGCCAGGATTCTCTGGAGGTTTCTTCCTGTTAAAAGGGAGTTTTCCTCTCCACTGTCGCTGCATGCTTGCTTAGTATGAGGATTGCTGTATAGTCACTGACACTAGTGAGTGACTTGATGCAATTTGCTGGGTTCCTTATATAGGAAACATTATTTCTGATTGGCTTAATGAACTGTGAATTGGAATGTTTATTATGTGAAGTGCCTTGAGACGACTCTTGTCGTGATTTGGCGCTATATAAATAAACTTGAATTGAACTTGAATTGAATTGATTATCAATAATATCTTTCCGGTGTCAGACGCTGTGGGGAACACTATAAAGCTGCAGTGAAAAAAAACAAACCAAAAACAACTAATTGTTATTGGTTAGAGCACATGCAGTCAATATATGCAGCAAATGTACAACACGTGAGCGGTTTCCACCCTAATTTATTTTTCTTCTAATCAATATAAATTGGTTAGCTGTAACAGACATGCATCAAAAAGGTAATCGCACATATTTTTGCACTGCAACAGACTTCAGTCTTTCAAATGAAATTAGCTTTGGAGAAAAAAATTTAAACTGGAGCACTGGGGCAATTTATAAAGAAAGAAAGAAGAAAGGAGAGAAGCATTAACATAATTCCGCCATTGTTTACCCTCCTTTAAGACATTTAAAACTAACACAATGGTGTTCCACAGGGTTCTGCTCTTGGTCCAATTTTATTTTTATTTTTATATTCAATTCCCCGTTTGACAAAATTTAGTGGTGAATCCTATTTTGATTATGCTGATGAGATCATTGAACATTGTATTACATCTCTCTGTAGTAAGCTTCCTTCCAACAAAGATGATTTATAGAAATCCTGGTTTCGAATAACTTTTTCCAACTAAATGAGGACGGAGTTGGAAACTTCATGTCACTCTCCATCTTACATTCAAACAGTCATGAATAATTTAGGGGTAACTTTGATGGTAATTAGACATTTCAGGGATTGTGATTTGTCCCTAAATCTAAAACTAAAGCTAACAAGAGCCTTTGTCGCTCGTTCCTCTCACACTCTGTGGTCCTGGCAAAACTTGTGAATCAGCTGAAGACACAACTTTTTTAATTGGTAGCTTGGGTATCATTTAGTTTTCTTTCATTTTATTTTTGCTTACATTATTACTTTATATCATTTTATTTCTCAGCCTTTTATTTAATTGTGATGCACAATATAACCACACTTTCACCTTTGTGCTTCAGTGTTGTAGTCCTGATGAGATTTACAATAAATAAACAGGAACAATTCCTAAACTGGAAATATAAATTGTTTTCTTAGCTTAGCAACTTTTGTTGTTTTTTTTAAAGCCATTTGGTAAAGTTTACAACTTGCATCTTCGTGTTGTCTGAACCCGATGCTGAGTGGAACGTGAAGCACTTGCTGATTGTGTAAGTGGTACACAGAGAGGATAGTCATTGTGGTTCTCATTAATGGTACTACAGCATTTTTAAGCTTGCTGATTAAAGTCTCAAGTGTCTGTCACTGATTTCTCACTGGTCACAGTTATGTGAGAATCCTCTTCTGTTTTTTAAGGACTTTTATTTGTGTCTGAGAAATTCTTGAAGGGTTATAATCCTCATTGAAATTCACAGGTCTGGGGTCTTCAGTGATCACATGGGTGCTAACCTGACTGTCAGTGTATTTACTCCCTTTTTCTTGTGGATTTAAAAGTTCTCAATAGATGTTTTTATTTAAATCTTTACAAAACATTTATTTTGAGCACTGATTTAGAAAACAAATTACTATATTTTCCAACATAAAGATATTGAATTATGTTGTAAAATTTCACATTTCTCCATCAGAGATTTTCATTTCCTAATGCTTCCTATTTAAATAAGGTGAGAGGCGTCATCTTTATCTTCACTAAGCTACAGAGCAGCTATAAGCAGGCGCTCGCAGGGAATAAGTGGCTTCTGTGACTCACATCCACACTCAGGTGGAAACAAGCATTTCACATGTTATCTCTGTGACACACACTAAGTAGCACTCTAAAGCACATTTAGGTATCCAGACATTAGATGAAACAACTGTCTTTCTGCTAGACTACATTAAAGTGAATAAAACACATGGGGGTTTCAGGTTATGTGCTTCTAGAAAATGTTAAAAAGTGTGTTATGAAGTCCGTTAGAGCAGTTTAGTTCACCTCTTTACCATACAGCTAACATCAGGTCTCCGAGTCAAATACTACCAAGAAATCTAAAATGCTACAAATTTCTTATAAGGTCCAACATGTGTGAGAAAAGACTAAACAGGTGTGATCTTGTCTGTGTCTTAACAAGGATACAGTCCCGACCAGGGAACAGGATTTTGTGGCGCACCATTTCTCCCATAATGCACCCCACCGACCAAATATCCACTGCACGCATAGAGGTGAAGGTGGGATGGAGACACGGGCGAAGAAAAGAGGGGAAAGCAAAGGTTAGTATCATCTACAATGAGCTCCGGTGATTAGCGAATGTGAAATACGTAGTAAAAGGCATAAAAGTACATTTAGAGACAGAGATCAACACAAAGAAAGTGAAAGCAGAGTCTGAGAAGGACTGACTGCATGAAATTTGAAGTGACGGCGCCCACGGGTTTCATTCTTGAGAGGACTCTGACTAATGAATCATAGCGAATCTGGCGTCCAGTCACATGCCTTAATGTTCCGGGGGGGTTTTAATCAGTGACTCGCCCCCTCCAACACTTAGCTGTAGCTCAAATGCACTTAAGCCAGTCGCTGATGAGGTTGAGATGTTTTTCCTGACTGTTGATGTCCACGGCCCAAAAAAGGAGGCTCATGCTGTCTGCTCAGCCACACATTCTACGACTACATTTTAGATTTCCTGCCCTAATTATGAGTTGTGATCATGCAAATGATGAGTATGTCTCACCATTCTCTTTGTATCCCATTCCCAGGATGACCTCTGGGGCTCTGTAGTACCGCGTCACCACGTATGGGGTCATCATGAAACTGGTGCCTGCGGTTCTGGCCAGACCAAAGTCCAGGATCTTCAGAGTGCAGTCAGACTTCACTACTATATTGCTTGGTTTGAGATCCTGGAGGAGATGAACAAAATCACCTTATTAACAAAAAGGTTACATATTTTATTTATTTATTCCTAACATGGATAGAACTAGTAAATGCACATGTACAGTAGGATCAGCTAGTCAGTATTCTAATAAACAGATATATTATGAATACGATTTGAATCTTTACCTTTTTATGCTTTTATTGGTGTTTGAAGTAAGTCAACCCAAACCTCAATATCAGCACAATAATTTTCTTTAATGTTTATGTTTATTTATTTGGCAGACGCTTTTATCCAAAGCGACTTACAATTTTATAACCTATCTGGCATGTTGCAGCCAAACATTTAATTAGAAGGTTTTTCTTTTACTTGAAACCATACATAGACATTTTTGTGGAATAAAATATCAAATTTAGTGCTGTGAACTTGTCCAAGTAAATAGACTAACTGATAATGAAGCATACTTCGTTTTTGATCTGAAACACGTGACAGCTGTATTTTAAATCCAGCTGTTTACTTGTTCACAATTCTATTTATTAGAGATTCTTGCATTTGTTGTTATATTTATTTATGATAAATGATCCAACTTGTATAGCGCCTTTCTGAGTCAGAGGACTCCAAAACGCTTTACACTACAGTTTATCATTCATCCATTCACACACAGGTGGTGATGAGCTACAGTGTAGCTACAGAAGTGGGGTGATTGGTTGGATTTTTTTGTTTGTATTGTTTTCACTTTACCAGTGTCTCATTCAAATACATTTCATTTAATCTGTGAAGTTTAACTCAGGGCACTTGTTGGGAGGTCAGAGGGAAATTTCAGTGAGAAGCAGGAAGTTTTCTCCATTCCATTTTTGGTTGAAGCAGTACAGTAGAGTGTGCATCGATTGCACGTTTTACAGATTATTCCAACAATTAAGACTACACCATCCACATGTGAGCAGAAAAACATGACAAAAGAACAGTCTTGCCTTCCTACCCTGTGAATGATCCCAGCTGAGTGCAGATGTTTGATCCCACACAGCATCTGGTAGAGCAGGTAGGACATTCTCTCATGGTCAAGCTCCATTTGAATCACCTGGCATAAGTTAGCATCCATCAGCTCCATCACAAGATACCTGGAATAAAAGGTTTGTTTCATGAGCGAGGGGCAGATATGTAACTGGTGAGCTCTTTAATGGTGGCTTTACAAGTTAACACACAACTGAGACAATTCAAAAACGGGTACAGGCAGAAGTAGAAGCTTATAACCCCAAACCCACCAAAACCATTTGAAACTTAAACTAAAATTTTAGAATAGCATACCATTACCATCATTTATACACCATTGTTGAAATTTCTGAGAATGTATTCAAATCCCCATTCTTGCTTTATAAACAAAAATAACCTTTAACATTTTATGCATTTTTTCATTGACTCGATTCATAATATTTAGTCACATTTGATTTAAACATACCCTTGAACTTTAACATTGCTGTACAATCTTTTTGCTCCTGATCTAATTTATTCCATACATCAACCCCAACACAAAAAATACAAAGTTGTTTCATTTTAGTTCTTACTTTAAGCTTCCTAAACATTTTATACCCTCTGAGATCACAAACACTCTCCCTGATCTGAAACAGATCCTGAATTTGTTTTGGCATCAAATTATTCATCACTTAATACATAAATTGTGCAGTTCTAAATGTAACTAATTCTCTTAACTTTAATACTTTTAAATGAATAAAAAATAAATGTGTATGCTCTCTACAATCTGCTTTATTTACAAGTCGAATTGCTCTCTTTTGAATTATAAACAGAGGCTTGAAGTGGGTTTCGTAGGTGTTCCCCCACACTTCAACACAATACATGAAATAAGGCAGAATTAAGGAACAGTACAAAAGATATAAAGCTTTTTCATTTAAAAATTCTTTAACTTTATAGAGAACTGCTAATGATTTCGATAACTTTGCTTTAATTGAGTCAATACGCGGTTTGGCGTTTGGTGACTTAGTTGCCTAGTAACAACATTTCTGATCTGGAGCATCTTTAACATTTTTGTGTGAAAAGATAAAATGCTCCACAGAGAAAAGTGAGCCAGTTCACCATTCATCATTCAGCATGAGAACACGAAACCTCCCGTAGTTTCACATTACCTATAGTACTTTCACTGACTACACCTCAATGGCTTTCCTCTCACAGATGCCTGAATGCACTGCAGTCATCGCTTTTCCTCACTTTGAAAAATGAAAGTCATCACTTCAATGTTTTGAAATAGGTTTTTGTGGAAAGTTTATGAACTGAAAGCATCTTGTTTGTTGTAGATAATGCTTTAAATGACCTCATATTGGAGAAACAGAGTTTAGTGTTTGACAAGGTAGCAACGAGTCAGCAGAGGACCGAAATAGTTTACTGTTGTATTAAAACTACACCAGTTTAAAATATATTCACAGCAGATTACACACACACACAGTTTTTAGGTTTTATACTGCATTTAATTCCAAATAACATGGGTATTTAAATAAAATTCAAGCACTGGTGGATTGAATTTGTTTTAATATTATGGTAAGCCACTTTAGTCTTGACTCAGCTGAAACTAGCTCAAGCAAACTATTCAGAAGTTGTTCGGAAGTTTTCCATAAATTTCAACACAATTTAAATAGCAAGTCACCCCCAAATTAACATTTTCTTTTGCTGATAAACTTTATAAATGAGTGTCTAATCGTGCTGTAGGCACGTGTAGTCAATAATTTGGCACTTTAGTGTATGTTAGTTAATATTTTAATATTCTGCCTAAAACTGTCAGTGTTGAACCGTCTTCAGGTAAAAATTATGTACCTAATCTGAATTTAAATCTGCCATCGCTATTGGCTAAAAGGTGCACTATGACGTTAGCTAGTACATTATGATGTCACAATATCGTTGTGAGCCTGTGTGAGTGTGTTTTTTTAGCGGCTACGTCCTCTCAGTCGGCAGGCAACAGCAATTGTTGCATTTTTCAAACAGGAAGTGGGAGCGGAGTAAGACTCTGGTAGGGGATGACTTGCTCTTTAAAAATATCTGTTTTCTCTCTTCAAACAAAACTATGCACCTTTCTGTTGCTCAAACAAAAAGAACAAAGGAAAATAGCATTTTGCACAAAAGACACTTACACATCCTGGAATTCCTCTAATGATTTCTGTGGTGTGAAGACATTTAATAAACTGATTATCTGGAAGAGAAAGAAGAATTGTAGAGGATCAGTATTCTGTGGTGACTGAAGGACCTGACTGTAAGTCAGGTACAGTTGATGCAACTTGATAATGATGCTGCTGAAGGACACTGGTGAGTGCGAGAAAGAGTGAACCGAAGTAGTGAGATGGAACAAAAGAGTGGGAATAAATGTAGGCAAAGAAGAGAAGAGCACACAGTGTGACAGTGGTGATTAGGCTCATCCCTCTGAGTGCTCTCAGTTTCACTCCCTCACCAGTTGGTTAGATGTCCGGGGGCACAGAATTTAGCATGGTCACAACATTGCAGAGGCGGGGCTGTTTTGGTGTAGAGGGATTTGGCCACAAATAAACTCAAGCTGAGTTGTTATATATTTTTACTCATTTATTGTGACAGTAGACATATTTTTACTTTGATCCTTTGCTATCTCTCAAGAAGAACTTACATTTTTGTGATTGACACATTTCATGAGCACCAACTCCCGGTACGCCCTCTTGGCATGAGTTTGGTTCTGGAAGGGTCTGCTCAGCTTCTTAATGGCTACATTTCTGTCTAGGACAGCATCGTAGCCCGCACTGTAGAGTGAGATGCACACACACACACACACACACACACACACACACACACACACACACACACACACACACACACACACACACACACACACACACACACACACACACACACACACTCATTAGAATCCTTTTTGCATCTTCAGTTGGAGCATTGTTTATGTGAGTTTGTGATGAAACCAACAATGTGAATCAGAGCAAAACAACAAATTAGTGCAGATTGTTGTGTTGAACTTTAGATTTGGGGGCATAAAAGTGGCATCGGCAGTGCAGGAGATCAAAACATGCTAATTTAATATGTGAAGAAATTAAGAAAAGCACATTAAATTGCCTTAAAACAAATTAAAATGAACACTTTTATGGTCCATTCTAGTTTTCATGACAAGCAATAGCCAGATTCATATTTACCATGCAAACAGGACACACACAAATAGTATAACCTAAATATTAAAATTCTAATTAGACAGATTTCATTAATTAGCTAAATATTTAACCCCTACAATAAAAGGTGCAATGCAGCAATTCCTTTTAAAAATATTGAACCAACCAAGTTGAGTTAATGCTGTCATTTACTGTACATTTGGCACAGTGCAATAGAATCCAGAGGGGATGAAAAGTCATAACTCTTTCCATAAAAAAATAGCTGAAACCTTTTTTTGTATGCAGCGCAGTGGCTAGCTCAACACAATCCCAACCCCTGAGAACCTTTAAGTTCCCAGTCACACTTTATGTTGGCTTTAGAGAACAGCAGTAAAGAAATGTAACATAAAGTTGTTCCATTGAGTGCCTTTCTTTGTAAATTTTCCCTCTAGGAGATGGTGTAAAGTGAGTTTCTGTGGATCTTTATGAAAGCTGACGAAGTGGGTTGTTTTTCCACGTCTCTGCAGCGGTGGATGAGGTGTGACCACAGAAAACAGGTGGGGCTTCATAAAAGCATTTATCTAATGGGGATTTTAGCAAGTCATCACTTCTAGCTGAGTGAAAGATGATGTCATGACCAGCTACACTGCTTTGAGCCTTCATCTGTCCTTAAGACGCTTATGAGCATTCTCCTTGACTCAGGACACGAGTCAGCGTGGTGGATGTGTGCACAGATCAGATCAGTAATGTTTGTCTGCAGGATAAATCTTAACAGAAACAAGTGGAACTAGTTTTCCCCTCATTAGCATGTTCTCGGGCTATAATAAGTCTGCTGATTGCATAAGAAAAGCAGAACGCGCCCTTCCTGACTAACATTAAAGCTTTTGGATCTCTGTTTGTGTGCATGTTGTCTCTTTGTCGTTAGCTGTTGGGAGTTTGAATAACAGAAATGAACAGATGTTTATGTAAATGTGATTATGTCACTAGCTGGGGATTGTGCCAGTGATAACAAAAACCATATTTTTTTCCAGCATTGATTAAATAATTTTAATAACTCATTTAAATACACGTAAAATAAAAATCTCAAAAAATACATTTGTTACTTGTGTTAAGAATAAAAGAGACTGATTGTCACGATTAACAGGATGTTCCACTTTGGGATTTGATGTGACTTGGTAGTCCTAATACCGCCACCATATGACACCAGATGACAGCTGAGGGCAAAGTCAAGCAGCACGGATCAGAAAAGGTCTGGCCCATGTCGTCCATCTGAATGTGCACAACCTCAGCATCAGCAGCAACAGCCTGCCAAAGCTACTTTGCAGCTTTGCAAAAATGCTTTGCAATGAAGAAAGAAAAAAATAAACTGGGAAGCAGAGTAAACCTTGAATGGTTTATACGTATAAGACAAACTGAAATGAAAGATGTCCACTTGGATCATCTGGGAGAGGGTTACTGAGAGCTATATCACACGGCACTGACATAGATATGACTTATAGCAGTGTGTGGTGGCTTGACAGTGGCTGTGAGAGGTGTTTCTGTAAGTAGATTACTGGCAGTCATTCCTCTGAATTCTGACAGGGACGACGTGTGCAGAATTACAATGAAAACAAGCTCACTGCAACATGTAGAAAGGTTTCATCCTGTTAGACCCTTGTGGTCCATTCATCAGTGTACTTAACTCAAAGTATGATGCATATGAGCAAACATGATTGCAAAAACACTGTTCTTTGATGTTTCAATATTTTCATGAATTTCTTTTTATAGCTTCTTAGCCTACATAATACACTCCCAAACACATTAGAACTTGTTTATTCATTTATCAGTTATTTTATTACTGTCAGAAATATTTTTACTTTGTTTGGTTGATTACATTTATCACTAAGCATTTATTCCTCATTCTTTATGCAAAAAAATGGGATATTTGTATTGAAATATTAAAAGTAGGGATAGACCGATATATATCGGTCGGCAAATATAAGAAGCAAATATTTACAATTTTTCTATATATCGGCTGAAATGCCTGTCTAGTGAAACTGCTTTTAAATCAGGCACATCCATGGGCATCCCGGTGCTGCTATTGATATTTTTACATTCATATTCATGTTTCTGAAAAACATCTGCCTAATAAATGATCTAAAACTTTATTGTCAATGGACATTTTCTTTCATTGACCTGTTTTTTGTATTTATTACAAAGTTTGTTTGATTAACTTTGGTTCAATTTTTATTTTAATACAGTGCACAAAATTAAAATTCAGGGAAAATGAGAGAGTGCATTCGAGTCCGTGGGACTATTTAAGTAAAAAATACTCAGCTTGAGGAAAATTAACTCCACAGATTTAAGAGTTAAAGAAAACTGGATGGGGTTTGTGTCGTCTGACACCTGTACACACAGCACAAACAACATTCTTGACAATTACATTCACGCACTGTGGTCCTGTCCACCTGTCCAGGAATTTTGGGGTAGAGTACGTGAAGACCTGTCAAAATGTCTGAAATGTCATATCCCAACTTCCCCCTCTCTTTGTTTACTGGGAAACCTGGACGATGTCCTGATTGAAACATCTTCGGTTCACGTGGTTCTGACTGCCATATGCATCGCTAAGAAAACTATCCTCATGAATTGGAAAAATCCAATCCAATCCAATTTTATTTATAAAGCGCATTCACAAGGCATTACAACCAAACAAGGCGCTGTACACTAAACATGTTAGTTAATTAAACCGGCGTTATACAAACATGTCGAACACAGATAAAAGATAAAAAGGAAATACAACAAAATTCCCAAAAATAACAGCTAAAAATCAATAAGCCACAGGGTGAATAAAAATTAGAAAAAACATTTTAAAAAAGAAACTCAATAGT